GGGGGGGGGGGGTAGATACCATCCTCAGACGCTTAGCAATTAAGAAACAGAGTGCTTCGCTTAGTCAAATCCATTCTTGTGTTCCTTTAAAACATCTATCTGGACATCTGTCTTGACTTTGATTTCATACACTAGGTCTTGGAATAGTATTTGGAGTGCTGTTTCTTGCCAAGGTAAAGCCACTTTCATAAGAATTATGAGGCACAAATGGCCCTAATATAACGTATAATAAGTGATATTTGCCCAATCTTAGGCACTCCTTTTGCTATGAGGGAATCTTCCTCAGATTTATATTGCATATATATCAGAAGCAAGCATCTGCTGGGCTCTTTTCCTTGAAGATTCTTTTTTATTCTACATTTCTTGATGAAAAATGATTACCTACCTTAAAGCGTTGTTGCAAGTGGTAAAACAACATAAAGAATTAAGAACTCACCACACACATAGTAAACACTAAGAAATGAATGTCATAGTTCTATTGAAGTTCATTGTTTTCTTTTTGTAAATAAGGCTCACAGACATATTTGGAGAATTCATTCCTGGTATTTTTTTTTTTTTTTTAAACCTACTCTTTGTCCTTTATGCCTCACATAAAACAAATCCTGAGTGCTCACTAAATGCAAGGAACAATTATAAGAGGCTGCAAATACAAGAAAGGGACTCTGAAATTGGGGGATCCACAGCTTTTACTGAAAGCCTACTCTTTGTTCAAAAGGGAGGCATTACCCCATCCTTCAAGGTTGTTTCCTGTAAACACAAGACTGAGAAATGGCCAGGGTAAGGAGTGGCCCAGCCTTGCACACCCAGCAAGGCATGTAGGAGCATGAGAAACCATGGAGGAGAGTCTCTCTGAATAATGTTTACTTTGATTTTTTTTCTTTTGTTTGTTACAGTGTCTCTTAATTTTTAGATGTAGTATGTCCTGTTCTTCTGATAGGTTTAAATCCTGGCTCTTCTGTGTGACCTTAATTATCTTAAGCTCTGAACCTTATTGTCCTTTTCTCTAAAACTGAGATTTTAATACTCACCTTACTGAAATATAAAGAGTAAATGAAATATGTAAAAAGTACTAATTATTATCATGTCCTGTACATAAAATATTTTCAATAAATAACTTAATAAAATTGACTTAAACCATTAAGTGATATGCTTATTCAAAATTGGCTGTTATATTTATAAGGAATTTACATATATAAGAACATTTGTAAGACAAAATTCAATTTTAGAAATATCCAGTACTCAAAAATATATATATTTTAATAAAGTCATAAGAAAGTAAACAAATTATGGCAAGTATCCACTGCTTAAGGTAGAGAAAAGGTGAGAAAGATTGTTGTCAAAAGAGCTAAAGAATAAAATAAAAAGTCTTGTAACTCAAAAATGTATCATTACTGCACTCCTCAAAAAATATTATTTTAACTCTGGAAGTTCGATTCTCTAAGGGTTTCAAATAACCAAAGTTTAAATTCAGAGTTCCCAATTTAATGTCCATTTCATGGAATTTAAATTTAGAAGTCACCCAAGATATTTGTGGCCCAACTACAATTTGAACATGTCACAGGAACCTAAGTAGCAGTGCATTTAAAAATTCAAATTAGGAATATCTTTAATATTTTATTTTTTAAGCCTTTAAATCTCTACAATGAATGAGTAATATTATTAAAACAATAAAATAAAAGCAATAATCTTAAATATAACTGGAAGCAATAATTGTCTTCAGGTAAACAAAACAAAACCAAAAAAAACACAAATAACAAGATGTGACTTTTTCTAGTGATTGCTAGCATCTTTAAACTAGTATATCTTTGCAAGAGATTAATTTAAAAATAATCCTTTTCCATTGGAATTTTTGTTTCATTAATTGCTGATTTAATTTTAAAAGTGGTATGAAAGCCTAAGAAAAAATAGAAACTCCAAATCATAATAGAGGTTTGAGTTTTAATGCCAACCTCTAGTCCTGCCAGCCTATAACTTTTTCTTTTTAAAAATATTTGACAAACTTCCTCCCTCAAAGTTGAAAAAATGAAAGTGCTTTAACATTTTGATGAATGAACAGCAATCTATCTAGTTTACCTTTGAATATATTCCTGAACAAGGTAAATAAAGAAAACCAATGGAGACAGACAAAATGAAGCAACAGTCACAAGGGACAAAGATTTTATTTCCTCCAAACCTAAATGTTCCATTTTTGTAAAAGTGAAATTATTTTTAAAGCAAAACCAGAAAGTAATCTGACAATGGATTTATTCTTTACATTTGTAGTTTCAAAGCAGAGAGTACTCATATGTAAAAATATAGTAAAGTACTATTCAATTTTCAGAAGTTATGAATGTTCATTTGCTTTCAATAGAGCTCAAGCTATTTCCTGATGCATTTTTTTAAACTAACTACCTTATTTTCTTTTACAACCTCACAGTAAGTGGAAGCCAGTTTTAAAATTTCAGAATTCATGTAAATAGTGGTATTTACTATGGTGGAAATTATCATTTTTCAAACATCTGTATTTTCCTTTTTTAAGTAACAACTACTTGAAAATCCATGTCTCTGATGCTTTTAACCCATGTATAGTTCAAACACTGTCATTATTCTGACCAAAAGGATCACATGTCCTAACATAAATATTTGCTTCGCTACAGTAATCAGTTCCTAAATTGGCATGTGACCTAAAAGGAGCCAATGACTCTCAGGAGGAATTTGTTGGGAACTCTGGAAAAGGGGCTCTTAGACTCTGTTTCTTGGAACTTAACTTCTGGAGTTGCCATAGCTACCTTGCAAGTATGAAGAAAATGTTTTTCCAAGAATTGAATGAACACAGAGGACCTGAGTAAAAGAAAAAAAAAACCCTCAGTCCAGATAATATCACTTGAACTTCTAGTGCATACCTGTGTGAGTATGTGTGTGTGTGTGTGTGTTTCCTTGCTCTGTCATCTGACAGGGCCTAGAAGCAACAATACTCCCATAGCAATGAGCACACCTAATACCCATATCTTGGTTTCTAATACCATTTGCCAATAAAAGGTATGGCCATTGAGAAAAGTACCAAATCTAGGGCTGAGCTAAGAATGTACAAGATGAGCATGGAGAATCTTATAGTTCCAGAAAGTAAAAAAAAAAAAAAGCCCCCCCAAAAAACTCACAAATATGGGGGAATATAAAACAGACACAGGAGCCAACTGAAAGAGCTCCCCAAAATGTACAAAGCTAAAATATGTCCGAGCAAAATTAATAAAGTAGCACTAGAGGGTAACCAAAAACCATAAAACCATAAAATAAGTATCTATGAGTCCATAGTGATATAAATGGTGAGATAAACACATAAACAGAGGAGAACTGACATACCTTCTGTGAAGAAGAATTCAAATAATACATGCAGATGCACCACATTCCAGGAAAGAGCATAATACCCCGCTCCTTAAGTGTGCACTGCACGTGGTGAATTCCTTCCAAAGAGTACAATACGGAAAGGGGAGAAAAAGAATAACTTTACAGAGGAGAAACCTGGTGAACACTAATGTCAAAAACCCATAAACCCAGAGTAATCATGAGAAACACATGAGAAAAACCTTAAGGGAGAGACATTCCACAACATACTTGCTGGTACTCCTAGAAACAGTCAACATCATCAAAATCAAGTCAAGTGTGAGAAACCACTGCAGCCAAGAGACACCCTGAGGAGACATGATGACAAAATGTACTGTGGGGTCCTGGAACAAAAAATGGACATTAGGTAAAAACTAAGGACATCCTAATAAAGTATAAACTTATAAAAGACTAGAACAGAAGAAAGGGGACTTGGGACAAGGATGGCACAGCTAAGCTGACAATGATGAAGGCTCCAGTTTTCCCCACTTTAGCAGAGACCTATGAAAACACACATCTTACCAATATTCCTAACATTATTCTTGCATATATCACAAACTGTTATTTTTAAATTCTTTAATAACTCCAACATCTAGACAGTTTACTTATGTAAAGGTACTCTTTCATAGCCATGTTTTATATTTATATATTTTAAACAGTCAATGCCTTGAAATAACTTATTGTTTTACGTAGAAACATTTGAAATATTTTAAAAGACTGGCTTATTTATATAAATAAAGTTCACTTTTTTAGTGTCTGCATTTTATTCTTTAATGTATATATAATGCGATTTATTTACCCTTCTACCATAAGCAATATTAGAATAAAATCCATGTACATATAAACATAATTAATGGTACTTTGATGTCTATAGATTCTGTAGCATGACAGAAGATCGGGATCAAACAGTATATTTATTAATTTCAATAGTTGTTGCCAGATTACATTACCCAAGAAACTGGAAAATCTCCCATTAATATTTGCAATGTAAACATTTATAGTTTTATCTTTCATTTTGGACTCTGCTGGGGGTAACATGA